AGCTGATTGGTGCTCATGTAGGAAGCTGAGTGATAAGAAGCGCTCCTCCGGATTCAAACACCCCAAGGCTCCTGAATATGCAGGCTACCATGAACCTATGCTCTAAAGTTACCACTTGATCATGGTCTTGTAGCCTGGGCCCATGGACATTGGCCTCGGATTGTTCAAGCCGTCATGGTCGCGAGCATCCATGGTTCTGGGACTACGCACATCCCGCTTAGCTAGGGCCTGAGGTCTGTGGAGGTCCAAAGGTAGGCTTGACGTTTGGGAAGGGGTAGGGTCTGGCGAGCCCAAGTGAGAATATCTGAGAATCATGGGCTGGAGCTGGTGTCATGGCTGGAGTGAAGGCCTTTAAGGATGCCACTACTGCCGGTCGCCGAAATTCGCAGTTCACGTTCCAACTTTGGTTTTTGGTCTGGTAGTGCGAGAGGACGCATACTTTGGGGTGCTCGGCGCACACATGGGGCCCATCCATGATTGGAGCCCAAAAGCTACGGAGCTTATGCAAGGTTTTTGGTGTTTGCGCAAGCCGCAAGACCTAGCTTGCGGATGGCTTCACTCTGGGAACCTGGGCCTAGAGCTCAGTACCTCGGCTCACGCTGCTGGCTGTTTGCCCGCCTGCGATGCTGGCTTGAGTCAGCAACTGCCATGCTTGCCCCAAAGAGTACTCACAGGAAAGTGTAGCCAGCAGACAGCCCCTCTGGTCCGGCCTCGCTGAGGCCTTTCTCCGCAGCATCCATGGAGCATGGAAGTCAGAAACTTGCAAGGCTCTTGCAAAGTACTAACATGATTACTTCATGATTCAGGAGTGCTCAATTTTTGCTTGGAAGGCACTGCAGCTTCTCTTTACCTGCCCAGAAAAATGCAATGCTTTGCCATGACTGGTGCAAAAGCTTGAGCGAAGTCTGTTAGGGGCAAGCAGGAGAAGCGCTAAGGTTGCTAAAGTTGGCCAAGAGGCAAAGCAAGTAGCAGCCCTGATGGCATGCAAGCTCTATCACACTGCAGAAGAGCAAGCGGAGGAACGCGTACTGTGCAGTGGCTGTCTAGAAAAAGAAACCTACTGGTAATGACTTTTGTTGGTGTTCAGCGCTGCTCATGGGGCATTTCAATTGATGACGCCGACGTACAGAAGCCTTGTAAAATCCTGTATGAGCGCCTGCTTCAATTGCGGTGACTAGTCCAGCACAGCTGGATGCATCGCTTGCAGGCAGCAAAAAGCAGTGGGGGCTCTGCGCCTTGAGAACCTTGGCATCATCCGCTGAAAGGCTGAAAACCACTTTTACACGCTTACAACTAGCAGCCCAAGCAGCGCATCAGAACCAAACAGCCAGAAACTTCTGCCATGCTGGGCCATGCATGTCTGAGGCCCCCGCCTCTGAATAAAGTTCCTTGGCCTGCTGGTGCTCACCTTCGTCTGCCGGAGGTAGGTCGGGGAGTGCAACTCATACTCCAAAGGAGCGCATGTTATCTAGTGCTCTCTCCAGTTGGGAGGCTTAAACGGAAGGCTTTCAACTGTTCGCACGTATGCCATAATTTAATTATCCCGCAGTTAATTATCCGCGTAACATGGTCCTTTAAAGAGATCTCTCTCAGGCCTTGCGCATCTGCTCGTCTAGCACCCTGTAAGAGTGTCGTCACCTGGCTATGCAGCAAGGAACTCCATGCTCGTCAGAATGATAATTAGCGACATAGCGATCAATAAACACTTTCTCCTTGTTTTCTTCGACTGGCTGACAGAGGCTATGCATTCCAAATTATACGCCCTGTACCTACATGTTCGAAGCTGGCTCGACACTTCACACTTCAACAAGGGTGCCGGAGGCGCTCGACGAAGCGCAAGGGCGCCAGAGCATGGTCCAGAACATGCATTCAGCTCCTTGCTTTGGATACAAACATCTTCAAACTCAGGTCTCTTGCTAACTGGCCCTCCGCGCAAACGTGCAGGGCGTAACCCCTGAGATCAAAAGCCGCACCTATCGCGGCCACTGTGCCCCTATCAGATCAGCCCACGGCCCAAGCCCCAAGACTCAACAACCCTTCAAGCATCATGATCTGCACTCACGAAGAGGGCTCGAAACAGGTGACCAAACCATGAAATGAAGCTTACAGTTTGGAGTGCCGGTTCTTACTCAACTATCGTCAGGTCATCCTTTAGTAATGCCCCCGCATGCACTTCTCGCTCTCTCACTCTCGCACCGCTCAACTGTCATCCTGGTGGGACAGCATCAAGCCAGGCCCTGTGCGTCACGCAGGGATTAGGGTTAGGAGGTATCAGGAAAGAGGGGCTGCTTCCACAGCTGTGTGGGTTCCATCTACATGCTCTATCGTTGTAAGTACCCCTACATACCTACCGCCTTTTTACTGGCGAACCCCCACTCCTACCTACCTGACACCTCTGATGGCGAACCCTCATCCCTACGAACCCTTACCCCTCCCGAAGACAAGCCCCAAATTGTCCCCGCACTCCCGCCTACCCAACGCCAGACAGCGAGCCAAAACCTACTTCAATCCCGAAACCCTAACATCTACACTCTAAACCCTAAGGTGGGCTCGGTCGGCGTGGTCGTGGCCGTGGTCATCGTAGTGGTGGTGGCGGCGGTGCTGGTGGCGGGTGGCTCCAAACTTATCCTGCGGGCCTGCCACCCTGGTATGTTGTTGTCAACCCTCGCCCACCAGCCCTCTTCGGTGGCGGACTCGGGCTATATCGTCTGTCATCATCTGGCACCGCAATAGGACAAGTTCTCCAAACCAGGGTCTTGATTGCACTTGGGGTCTCGAGGGGAAAGACGTTGATGTCCAACCCATGAAACCCTTAGAGGCTACTAAGTACTGTGTGCGGCCTTAACCTTCCAAAGGTTCTTTGAATCACTTCGGGCCCAGCCTATGGCTGTAGAGTCGATGCTGGTCACACCCACAAGGGGTAGGGACTGGCAAGCAAGGCAAAATCAAACAAACTGCCAGTAGCCACTGCTACTTGGAGTCAGGTGCTTTACTACATGCATGCGCTCTCTCAAGCCACAGATCAATACGCAACCCAACCCAACCCAACCCTCCGCGCCATGCCGTGAAACAGCCGTGGTGCAGAAAAGTGGAGAAGGCCACTGGCCTTGGCTCCAAGGCAAAACCAAAGCCAAGGTAAGCCAAGAGTCGCTCAAAGGCTGTGAAAGAAGTTCTACAAACTGAAAGGAAGGAAGAAGTGCCGCTTGCATCGCACACAGCTAGAAAATGCTAGAAAGCTCAACAGCTCCCGAGTCTGAGCTGGGCTTCCTGCGGATGTCAGCGGCCGAACAAGATGTTTCAAACAGTCCGGATCGTAGATTACAGACTGCCACTGCCTGGCTTGTGAATACAAGCAGCCTGCAAGATCTGCACATGGTTTCGAGGTGTTTCGCTACCAGCTGTACTGCAGCGGTCTGGTCGTTTGTCGTATGTGCCACTGGCCTGGATGCCCAGAAGATGGTTAACATATGTTAACATCAATTGTCGACCCTTTGCTTACGTGTTAGACAGTCAAACAATGCTTGAGAGTTGCGGTGATTGCCCAGCTGCGTCCCTCAAGCATCACTGATAAATCTAGGTGCCCAAGGCTCTGCAGAGAGAGAGAGAGAGCACTCAATGCAGAGAAGGGCCCAATGCCTTTGCGCAGCGCAGCTATGGGACGAGCGTATGCTAAGGCTCTGTCTGTGATGCCTGGCAGGTCCTTAGGGGTACTGGGCTGCAGATGTACAAGCATGCCTTGAAGGCATCGGGTGGGGCTGGGTACTGTGCTAGCTTGGGGTGGCTTCGCAGGGCTGGGTATCGGGTGTTGAGGAACATGGAATGTCAAAGAGCTGTTGTGGTGCTCTTTCTGTTTTTGGGGCCAGTTGAAATGCAAGTTCTCGGTGTCTGCTGCGTTGCAGTTGCAGAGAATCTCTACCTGCCTGCCTACTTCCGCTCACCCAGTTTTGGGGAGATGCTCCACCTATCTGTACAGGTTTCGGTCTCCCAAGAGTTGGGGGAGACCACGGCTACTCGAGCCTGATGACGCAGCAGATGTGACAATCTGCTGTACACCTTCTGAAGCCTGCCAGCCTCTAAGTAGAACCTGCGGGCACATTGGAGGACCGAAAATGCTGGGGCGATTCTGTGAGGTCCCCAGTTGTCCACCAACTTGATTTTGCAACCACAGCGTAAACTCTGGCTGAATTTCACACGCGTTATTCCGCATCCACCTGGGTCTCACGTTACTTGTTCGGGGCACTTAATCTACTGGAGAAGAAAGGCCACGAAAGCAAGTTGAGGCCTCTGGATTCTCTACATGCCATAGCCCAAAGCCAAACGCATGCAATCAAATTCCCCTGTCATCATGGCCTAATTTCCAGCGCATTTGTTTTTGCGATGCTAGGCTGCTAGGAACTTGCAAGACCTGAAGAAACACGAAGGCAAATCTTGTTCCTTTGAGGAGGTTTGGGCCTGAAGGTGAGTTTTGGAAGGAGGGGCCCTCCTCCTCTACACATCGATATCTAAGGGGAGAGGCGGGGGATGCCACGCAGCCGCTCACCCCCCTAAGTATTGATATTGTAGCGGAAACGGTCTCCAAGTCAGCTTCTGACCCACCTGACCCACCAAGAGAACTTGTAAACGACAATCACCGCAATCTCCAGAAGGGCTACGTAACTTTCATAGCATCCCATTGGCGTTGAAATCCAATCGCAACCCAGCTGCACACATCAACCAAATCCCATTGACAGCAATATGATCCCCCATACTTTGCGTACGCCTTTCTGGCCCCCGAGTCTCGGAAGCTATCCCCGACGTGTGGGGCGAGGACTTTTTTGATGTCATTTACTCCAGCAGCTGAGGATGCAGGCAGACTTGTGAGTCATGGATAGTCATGGCATGGCTTGGAACAGATTTGTCAGGCCACGGAGCTAACCGAAATTTTGGTGACTACTTACTTGCTTTGCTCTTACAGCCTATGCCTGCCAAGCACTCGCTACGGTATGTACAAGGGGTCGGCATCACCTTACAGCTGCCACACCAGCATCGACCCCGTCGGCCTGACACGGAAGCACTCGCAACTCCTAGTTTGGCCAAGACAGCACTGTGTTGCGAACCTTCACCTTGATCCAGCGAAAGGTGAGGTTTATCCGCTTTCCACAGGGCTGGCTCGTGGCAGGCACCTGGCAGGAGCGGAGTCTGCGGCTTACGCAGGGACTCTTGACACTGCAAGAACTGAGAGCACGGCTGCATGCTTGTAGTGCCTCTGAAAGAGACCTGCCATTCCACCATCCAACATGCGCCGGCGCGTTCTGGATAGGATTATAAATTCTCGTTGATACTCCCAAGTCCTCGAAAGGAGTCTAAAGAGCTCCCTACCCTTTGGCAAATACAAGCCCATGCCTTCCATTGTAGCCACATCGCCATCTCCCAGTGCAACTGTTCCCAACACTTCGGAGGTGCCTGACGATCACAGAAAGAAGTTGCCCTTGTTGACTGAGAACAAACGCTGTTGACGTGATTTCTGATGAGGGAAGAGGGAGCCAGGCAAAGTGCCTCAGGATTGAGACGGGGAGAGGGGCAGAGCAAAATCGGCTGAAAAGTCGCAGCCTTGAAGTCTCCAACTAAAGTCTCGCGCAGAACCGAGCGAGAGAGATAGAATCCTTGGCAAAGCTCTTTGCAGCCGGAATGCTTGGCCGCTAGGCTGCTAGGCAACGCTTCGCAATAGAGGAACAAATTAGAGAGCCAAAAGCTCGTCAGAGTCTCCTGCAGTTCACCGTTTCGCATATCGTCTGGGCTCCGATCCGCGTGTCACCGGCTAGGCCCTGAAACAGAACTTCATCATCGCTGTGCCAGCCGACCTACCACAGAGAAATATGAAGAACTGTATGACAGATTTTGGCGAGCTTAATGGCTCACGCAGCGCCTCTTGGCTACCGTCGTCGTAGACGTTCACGTTGCAGCAGTTGGGGTAGTGGCCCTGCGAATTGCACTATTTCTAGACACAAAGTTAGGTCGCGGTGTGTCTTTTCTGTTGCGGTGTTTTCTGTGCATTGGTTGCATGTTGGTTGTGTTTTCTGAGTGGAAGCTAGCATTCTGGCTGGGCTTGCTAAGGCATCAAGGACTGTAGCTTACAGCACTTGATGCTTTTTCCAGGGCTTGAGCACTGCAAACGTGGGGTAGCTAATCTGTAGCAGCAGTAATGGTAATCATGCTGGCTATACAAAGAATAGCAGGAAGTATATAGCCTAATAGAAAGAAAAACACAGCAATTCCGGCATTAATTGCGCCCTAGCAACACCAATAACGGCATCAGTGATAACAATACTGCTACATGGCAGCAGCGCCGGCGGTGGCGGTGTCGTTGGCGGCGGGGGCAGTGGTGGCGGCCGTGGTGGCTGTGGGCGGTGGCAATGTAGTAATGGTGACGACCGCAACAGCAGTCATGTAGCAGTAGCAAGGTAACAATAGAAGCAACAGTAATAGCACTAGTAGCACTACTCGTGATAGAATCGCACCGAATACTTGCGATGAATGGCAGCAGCAGTAGCACGAGTAGAGGTGCCTGTGGTAATGATAACGGTCAGAGTATTCACAATAATAATGACATTCATGACAGTACCACGTGACGATTGTGCTATCCCACGAAATTGCAGCAACAGCAGCAATAAGAGGATGATACTCTGATAGTGATCGTGGTCAACACACTCACAGCAGAAAGTACAGATCAAACAATGTTCACAGCAGTAAGAGGAAGAACAGAGGTAGTAATAATAGAGCAGGGAGAATAGCTGGGAAAAGTGCGATACCAGTAATGCGTACGAGAATCATGTCGATACATAATGTGCAACTGCAATACCAATTCTTGTAAAATGGCAATTACAGAATCAACAACAATACCAAGCCAGAAGCAGAGAGCAAGGAGCTGACACAGGAAGCAAGAAGCAACAATCTAAGGCAGGAAGAGCGAGATTAATGAAAAAGCAGAGCATGCAGGCCGAGAATGGAAGGCAGAAAGCAGCGGGAGAAAGCAAAAACAGAGCTACTAGCCGAAAGGAGAAGGCCAGAAGCCAAAACCAAAGAGTCCCTGTGAGCATCATGCATAGCAGCCTGGAGACAAGGACTCTGGAATTCGCATTGCGGGTGCTGAACACGCAGTTTCCAGTACATTGTTGAGAGTGCTTTGCAGAGATGCAAAAAAAACAGCATGCATGGCACTTTGGGAAAGGGCTGCCTTGGGCCCAGCTGAAAGCAACGCAACCAAGACTCACGCTTAAAGGGATTGGTTCTTGCAGGAGAAATGTCATTCTCTGCTTCAATTTACTTCACAATTCCAGAGCTCTGCATGTACAAGCGCCATGACACCCATACATCTCCGTACTAACTGAGTCCACCTGTTGCCCTCCGTGAGTTGTAACTGTTCCTATTAGAGATGCCATGCTTCCCAATGTCCTCAGGGATGCCGCAGAGCGTGCAAAGCTCCTGGACATGTTGCCACATCAGGTGCCGTGCCTTGAGCTGTGATGCGTACCAAGTTCAGCATCTTAAATGAAGCGTGCAAATTGAGCAGATGCGAGTCTGCCGTAGCTGACCATTCGGCTTGAGCGCCAAGCTCCACGTGTTCCAACAAGTCCTTGCAAATCTCCTGCATGAATGGCGGATAGACGGTCGCCGGAAACCTGATGACCAGGAGCTGCAGAGTCCACTTGTATCGGAGTTGCTTTCAGTTGCAGCGGGTCATAGCTCAGCGAGCAGCTCCAGGCCAGAATAGCGATACGGGACATCTGCACAATCCTTCGGCAGTTGTAACCGTTGTAACCCCTCTTACTGACACGCTTTCTGCTCTTGAACCCCCACCTCAGACACGTACCAGATCACTTTCCGGGGCACGCCTGGAAGTTGAATCCAGCAGGCCTGCACGCACACTAGCGGCTGAGGCTCAGACATGACTTAAAACATGATTCCTTTACGGGAAATGCATGCACACACTCGGACCGAGTCTTTTTCACACGTGGGGATCTGAGTCATCTGTGCCATCTGTTCCCTGGAGTTCCTGGCAGTGCCTGGTCTCCGGATTGCTTGCTGACCAAAACTTCCGGCCTGTGTGGCCTGAATGATTATGTACGAGTCCCCCTCCTGGGCTCACAACTGAATAGGCTTGGATGCCCATTTGTCGTCTAACAAGCCTGAACAAACGGACTCAAAGGTCAAGCAGACCTGAGCTTGACTGAAATCTACTTCCTGTGCCT